TTATTGCTAAATAACTGTCTGAATGCAGCCAGTAGATTCCTCACTGACTGGTAAAGGGTGGGGCACAAGCCGGGCCAGAGCGAGAGAGACCACGAAAGCCGGCGCCAACCTCTTCTCCAGTTCGGCTTGTGTGCCTTTGTGACTTGCACGCTTTTGCCAAGGAAGCCCCACGTGGCTGCAGCCCGTCTCGCAAGGCTTAGCTTTCCGAGCTGGCAGAGGCCCTGACCAGAACGAAACACCCCCCAGGTCTGTTCTCATTCGCATTCAGGGACCGCAGTCGCATTAGGGCAAGGTGCCAGCCGAGGGTATCGGCGGCTGTTCCACTTCGTTTCTCCGCTGGAGAGTTTGCATAAAGGTCGGAGGAGGGAATTCGGACGACCAGGTGGAAGTACGGGGGCGAATCCAGCCCACCCCTTCCGATGGTTAGATTTCTCCAGAGTCGTTGGGCAGCCGATCGATTTAAATTCACGCACAAGCAAGCAAATAAATAAATAATAGCGCCTGTCCCACGCTGCTAAGAGGTCTCAGTGTCCTACTTTGCAGAAGGCAGGCTTTCAACATGTCTTTCTGCTCGAAGGGCCAAAATCCAGTCCGCGTCTGACTCCGAGAAGCTGGTACGCGCTGGAGACCCCTCTGTTCTTAGCAAGCATCGGGGGCGCAGCCTTGCGCCTTCTCCCCCGGGCGGTGGCATTTCTATTTCGATCCCCGCGACTCCTCCTATGTTTGCAATAGAGCCTCATATCCAAATGTGATGCAAATCTGCGTCGGATTGATTGATTGATTGATTGATTGATTGATTGCAAGGCATTTCCTCGTCTTTTCTGCAAAGCGGCCATTGTTTTCCAAGCCGCTTTGGAGGTGTCTTTTTCTCCCGTTCACCTGCTGTTACCTCCACCACTTCCTAATTTAAGCGGGGACCTTTGGTGTCTTCGCTAATTGTCTGATCGATAAAGCTGCATTTTCTCGCAAGAGAAACGGAAAAGGAGCTGGGGGTGGGCTGGGGAGAAGTGAAAGCAGCCACTGGCAGCATATCCTGGTCGATTTGAGGGTGCCACAGGCAAAAG